TCTGTGGGAGCGGATGTCACCGGCTCCATGGCTCCTCTGACTGGAGAACGCAAGTCTTCTGCCCCCATCCACTCGAGCCAGCCTGTCCTCTTCACCTTTGATGTGCCTGTGCGCCACACGCACCATAGTTCCCTGTCCAACAGTGCACCCCAGGACTACCTCCTTCTCCACCAGTGCATGAGCAGGAAGACAGAGAGTGCACGGTAAAGGCCATGACCCTTAGGCGTCCTGTGTCAGTTTCCTGTTAGCTGTTAATCCAGGTCAACATACAGGTTCACTGTGCTTCCTCAGCTTAGAAGCCCCTAAGGGTTAGGGCTACAGTTATGGGGGAAATTCTCCATTTACTTTGTGCGTGTGTGTGTGTGTGTAGTGTATTTTATGTAGTTGTGTATTTAAATGTTCTGATTGAAGGCGTGCCAGTCACTATGTTAGATTAAAGTGAATATTCAAATCTAAAAGCGGCAGTCTAAAATGAGTAATGCATCCTCTCGAAGAACAATTTCTGAGTGTGACAATAAATTAAAATCCAGAGGTCAGACAAAATCCATAAATATGTTTTTGTTATTTGCTCAAATTGATTTTGATTCAAAATAAAAATGTACTATGGGATTATGTGAGGATGGACAATGTGGCTTCAATTCTCTAACAGTTTATTATATTATATAATTATTATATTTTATTACATAATAAACCTAGAATGGCTGTTTTTGGTGAAACTCATGCACTAAATACCAGAAACCAAATATTTCATTACATTAATAATGCAAAAATCCTGTTAATCCAATATCTCCATAAGCAGACTAATGTTTAAAAGATTTCTCAATCAATCATTTAAACACTGAAACAATAAAATATGCACAAGTCAAGAGGTGTGAAAACCAGAGTAACAACAGTATATATACATTTATATGGATATGAATGGCTGTCTTGGCTATATGCTGAGCAGGAGAACAAAAGGACCAAGTGTTTATATTAAATGCACTTTCTCCATTAGCATTCACCTCACCTCATGCTGCCCTCATGCCTACTTCCAAGAATCAAAACGCTGCTTTAATTATGATGCCATTCTGCAGATACCTGACACAGTACATGATCAATGAGGTTGAGGCTGCAATTCATCACTCCTATAGGTTTAGACTCACTCGGGGTAGAACTGCTCTCTCAGCCACACGATTTGCACGCAAATCTGCTGTGTTGGACCGCTTTGAAGCCCAGGAAATCAAACCTCACAGTGCATCTCATCAGCTTTATGCAGATATTTCTGCCTCTCCCTTATTTGCTTCTGATCCATAGGTCTGCTAATTAAAACAAGCATGTGTTGATAGGGTACAGTCCGGGTCAGAATGAAACTACTCTGATGACCAGTAGAATTAATCTGTGTAAAAAGCCCTCATACAGTCACAGTGATGGAAGGCAGAGTGATGAGCAATCATTGATTGATGACTTAAACTCAGTGTGACATTAAAAAGAAGTGGAGTCAGAGAGACCAAAACACTATGTCACTATTAATTACTTTGATACATTTGAAATTCTTACATTTATAATCAAAAATGAACAGAACCATTAAAAATCTGCAGTGTAGTTTGCACATATGCATGAATCTAATTTGTAGGACTGCTCTAGTTGGCAGGGTCAAGTTCGACAGACCAGCCAGAAGATATGAGGCATGTCTTCGTGGTGCTTAACCAAGGCTGAGAAATTCAGAAAACCCTCTTAACATGGATGCCCCCCTTCCTGTCAGCATATTGAAACCATGTGACTGACTCAGCTTGTCCAAGATATGTTAGAAAAAAAACTTACATTTAATGTGTATGCTGTATCTTTGTAAAGGTGCTCAGGCATGATGCAGAGGTGTATTGTTTTTTTTTTAAATGTATGTTGAGACCTATAGAGCTCAGGTATTCTTTGTGGTGCTACAGTGCCATCTAGTGGCTGTTTGAGTAGTTATATTGAAAATGCTGCTTAAAAACAAATGGTTGTCAGCCTCCTTTTTTATGCTGTTGTTTGAGATAGGCTGGCAGTGAGGTATCAGACAAATGTCTATGTGTGCACTTTGGTATGTGAGCACAACAAACTCTAACTGTTTGTATATTTATATGTCTTTTTCATGTCGCAGGAGTGCCAGTTTCTCTCAGGCCACACGAAGCAGTGTGTTTGTGGGGAGTGACTCTGCAGTGCAGAAGCTCTCCCATGGCTTCTCCCACTGTCTAAATGGCATGGGTGCTCAGTTGCATGGCTTCTACAGCCTACCCAAGCCAGGTAAACAGCAGTTACCCGTGCATGATGACTCGCCGCCGGAGGCCTGTTACGTGCTTCCGCGGGGATACAGCTCGGAGGCACCGACTCACAGTGGGCTAGGTGAGCCTGAGCTGGAGAACGAGGAGGTTTATACCTTCAATACGCCCTGTAACACCCTCGCTGCCATGCACAGCAATGAGCGTCCACCTGACAATTATGATCTTCCTACGCCACCTGGCTCCTTCTATCAAATCCCCCGGACGTTTGATAAGAATCACAATGCCTTAACACCCCCCAGCTCTGAGTCCTCCAGTGCTCCTCCACCCAGACCCCCTAAACCTAGCCATGGGTCAGAGGGCACTTGGGGGAGTCCCCACTCATTAGGGAGCCAGAACGGAGAGATGGTGTCTGCAGTGTCGGTCATCCCACGTAGGAATACTCTCCCTGCTGTCGAGAACATCAGGATGCACAGAGGTACACTGCCTGCAATTAGCACTTTACCTGCTTTATTAATGCCCCCTCCCAAATGCTGCATGCTTTTTTTGTAAACACAGTCTTGGTTGACGTGCCAAGATATTAGGAAAATCATATTTTCACCTGCTTCCTGTTTCCTGTTTCGAAATGCAAGTCTGACTTGATCAGTCCTTTTGTGGCACTGCAGTGACTTTGCACTTCTTTTTCCTACCCCTCTTTCTCCCACTCTTCTTCTGTCTCTCATTTTACTGATTTAACGGTAGCAGCTGAGCAAAAACAAAGAGGTCAGTCTAGCAGACATTGTTCTGCTGAGATGCTAATGAAATTTAAGCCATACAGCCTACTCCAGAATGCCTTGTTCCATAGCCTACCAGGGACGGCTTGTTCCAGGCTGATAAACAGTCAAAAAAAAATACTCACAGAAACAAAGCATCTTAACTTGCTGTGTTCTCTGCTTTGCAAAGTCCATGTTTAGGCCTCTTATAGCCAGAGACAGTAATTGTCCTGTCACCCTTGTTAGTGAGGTTACAGGCTGTTCACATACCTGTGCTGCAAAGACTAATTATAACTCAATAAACCATTTAATATAATGTCACTCGTGTTCTGTTTGTTTCATTAGCAGCATGAGTTTACACCTTGAAATGTCAGGCATTTTTGCCAAATGCGCCTCTTGCAGTAATCATTGTACAATAGCTGGCTCTTGTAGGTTTGGCAGGTTGGTGCTATTTCATATTAGATGCTTTTTTTTGTTTTAGGGTTTGCTGCAGCAGTAAACATTGATTTATCACCTCATGTCTCTTCACAGGCTCCTCTTTTGAAACTAACAGTCATCACCATCCCATTCATTTCAACAACTCGGGCCAGTCTGTGGAGTCTGTCAATGATGGGTTCAGCTCCTACCTGGTGAGTCGCTGTCTCCCTTTTTCCTCAGTCCCGCCTCAGATAGACACTGTCGGCATGAAATCCAGCTGCAGAAATACAAGTGCATTTTTACTGGTTTTACTCTAATTTAGTGTTGCTGTTTACATAGAGCCCAGAGAGTTTAAAGAACATAATGTCCCTTTTGACCCCAGAGAACCAAACCCCCTCTGACTCGCTCAGACAGCGGCAACTCAGATGACAACTATGTGCCCATGAATCCTGGTTCCTCGCCACTCAGCACTGCCCAGGCTGACAGTCCTAAGAATATCTACATCCCTATGAGCCCTGGGCCACATCACTTTGATTTCCCAGGATTCTCTGCAACTTTACCTGCCCGTAAGGGAAGCAGCGCCTCTCTGTGTCACAGGCCCAGCCGTCTCAGTGATGTTACACCACCACCCATCAACCGCAACCTCAAACCCAACAGAAAATGTGAGTTTTTGATAGCAGAGGTCTCACTGTTCTAAAAAGTGGGTATACATTTTTTTAATCACCACTTTTGGCTTCAGATCAGCTCTGCATTGGTAATTGTTTCACAAAGAGGATGCTTTTTATTGACGGTGTCTGCTCTTGTATCTCACAGCAAAGCCAACACCTCTTGATTTGAAGAACAATGGGATCATTGATGAGCTGCCATTTAAGAGCCCAGTCACAATGTCCTGGACACGGCCCATGTGAGTCTCATATCAGTTATTCAGGCTAGGTTACTAAAGTCCACTCACAAACATGCACACAGTTTGGTGGTACAGATTGGCAATGTATTTTGATTTTGCTTGAGTTGAGAAGGTAGAAGCACTCACGGTCCTGTCTGCTTTGCTACAGGTCTGCTATGAACTCTATGTCCTCCCAGCATTGTCGACCCATCTCTACACAGAGCATCACCAGCACTGACTCTGCAGACAGTGAGGAGAATTATGTGGCTATGGTGAGTCCCAGTAGCTGAAGGGGAGATCAGGACAGCACATTGTGTTGTTTGTTTTGATGATCCCCTTGTTTGTGCGTTATGTTTACTTACTGCACTCAGTGTGAGTGAAGCCTCCCTCCTGTCTCCATTAGCAGAACCCAGCGTCTACCTCCCCAGCTGTGAGTGGCACCAGCAGTCCAGCCCCTAGGAAGTGTGGCGATGTGGACTACCTAGCACTGGACTTCCAGTCTGGGTCACCCAGCCCACACAGAAAAGTAAACTGATGATTTTGGAGACTCGTTATAATATTTATTCTCATTTCTCCCGCAGTGCAGTATCTTACTGCTGCCTTATTTATCATTCCACAGCCCTCCACGTCCTCTGTGACCTCTGATGAGAAGGTGGACTATGTGCAAGTCGACAGAGAGAAGACCCAGGCACTGCAAAGCACCATGCAGGAGTGGACCGATGTTCGGCAGTCTACGGAGCCTGCTAAGGGGGTCAAGTCCTGACACGGAGCTGTCAAAAAATTTGACAAAAAAAACTAAAAATTCAAATCTTAAGTCAAGCATCGCCGGTATCATGTGTCTGGCATTACTATGAATACTGGTCCAGCTTGTTTAAGACTGAATGTTTGGACAAAGAGCCATGACCTGTCCTATGCCTATTCTCTGTTACGATTATTACTGTAGTGCACTCCTAACATGCAGGATGTCAGGTCATATAGGTGAAGCACCCTGCCAAAGCTCTTCATGCAGACTGTTAGAACAGTGTATGGACAATTGTTAATGTGTATAAAAATATCACATCAATCCATCCTTTATAAAATGCTAAAATGCAAGTATTTCATCGAGGCTATCTCATCCACAGCCTCTGCACCAGTCATATATTTTTTTGCATCTAGTAGGTAATTTACCCAACGTCTGTATTTAAAATAGTACGAGAGGCTAACTGGTCGATAACCATATTAATATACGGTAAGAGCA